CCAGACTGCGAGAGGGCACAGGCTGGGCTGAGGGACCCCCCCGAATGCACAAATTTTTGTGCACCGGGCCTCTAGTCTTACCTAATAGACAAACATGTAAATTGACTGTCCCTCTGCTATGATCACCAGCCAATCAGGAGAGTACACAAACTAACCCAACAAAGATGGTGGTTAATTTGCATACATAGGCACAAAGTGGCGGAGCGGCCAGAGTAGCGAAGACTGAAGGCTCCGGCCAGAGCGAAGGCCTGGGTTCCGGGTGCCAGAGGAAAACTGGTACCGGCAGCCAGGAGAAGGGAAGGCCTATTGCATGAATCTCTTTGTGCAACGGGACTCTAGTATGTATATCAGATCTTTGACTAATCTCTTCCCACCTCCTCTCCCCACTTTCCTATGAGATGTGTCAGTTTGTTCCATGTTTCCATGCCTCTGATTCTATTTTTTAGATTCAATTGTTGACAGATATGTATTTATCGCCATTTTATTGTTTGTATTTTTATCTCTTCTTTCTTCTTTTCTCCTTCTTCTTCTTTCTTCCTTATTCCTCCTTCCTTTATTCCTTCCTTCTCCTCCTCTGTCCTCTCCCCGCTCCCTCCTCCTCCTCCTCTTTTTTTTCTTCTTCTTAAAGAATACCCTTCAACATTTCATGTAATACTGGTTTGGTGGTGATGAACTCCTTTAGCCTTTTCCTAGTCTGTGAAGCTCTTTATCTGGCCTTCAAATCTAAATGATAGCTCCACTGGGTAATCTTGGTTGTAGGTCCTTGCTATTCATCACTTTGAGTATTTCTTGCCACTTCCTTCTGGCCTACAAAGTTTCTGCCGAGGATTCAGCTGACAGTCATATGGGCACTCCCTTATAAGTAACTAACTGCTTTTCTTTTGCTGCTTTTAAGATTCAATCTTGGTCTTTAACCCTTGGCATTTTAATTATGATGTGTCTTGGTGTGGGCCTCTGTGCTTCCTGGACTTGTAAGTCTATTTCTTTCACCAGGTAGGGGAAGTTTTCTGTCATTATTTCTTCAAATAGGTTTTCAATATCTTGCTCTCTCTCTTCTTCTGGCACCCCCATAATTTGGATGTTGGTACGCTTGAAGTTGTCCCAGAGGCTCCTTACACTATCTTCATATTTTTAGATTCCTTTTTCTTTTTGCTCTTCTGATTGGGTGTTTTTTGCTTCCTCACATTCCAAATCATCCATTTGATTCTTGGAATCCTCTACTCTATTGGTAAACCCCTGTATATTATTCTTTACTAGAGGCCTGATGCACAAAGTTCATGCAAGAGAAGGCCTTCCTTCCCCTGGCTGCCGGCACTAGCTTCCCTCTGGCACCCGGGACCCAGGCTTCCCTCCAGCCACCAGCAGGCACCCAGGACCTGGGCTTCCCTCGCAGCTCCGGCTTCATCCAGAAGGTCATCCGAAAGGACATCCGAAAGGACATCTGGTCTAATTAGCATATTATACTTTTATTATTATAGATTTCAGTCAGTGTATGCTTAATTTCTGAAGGTATGTACCCTTGATCAGGAATTGAACCTGTGACCCTTTGGTTGACAGGCCAACACTCTATCCACTGAGCCACACTGGCCGGGCTCCTTGCTATTCTTGGAACACACTAGACACCCTCTGTCCCAGGACTTCTGTGCTTGCTGTTCCCTCTGTTGAAAAGTTCTTTCCTGGTATAATCCTCACACCTCACCCCCTGGTTTACCTCAACTCTTTGTTCAATGTAACTTATGTAAGGCTTTCCTTGATTATTCCATTTAAAAATGCTAATTACCAGCCTTCTCCATCCCCAGCTTCATTTCTCTCGATAGTCTTATCACCAGCTGACCATGTCGCCTGTTCTAGTCATTATTTTGATGGCCTACCGCCCCACCCTGGCCTGTCTGCTCCTCGAGGGGAGGGAGTCTGTCTGCCCTACTCACTGGTGTGTCCTCAGGACTCACACACAGGCCCAGCACAAATCATCATTTAGTGCCTATTTGTTGAATGAAAGCAGGACCAACCTTAAGAGGCTGGTCCCCAATTTATACATTACAAGGCTGTAAGTGACCGTGTCACTATGCAAGCTGAAGGCTGCCTGAGTCTAGGCCGGTGATGGCGAACCTATGACATGCGTGTCAGAGGTGACATGCAAACTCATTTTTTTGGTTGATTTTTCTTTGTTACACGGCATTTAAATATATAAAATAAATATCAAAAATATAAGTGTTTTACTATGGTTGCAAATATAAAAAAAAATTCTATATATGACACGGCACCAGAGTTAAGTTAGGGTTTTTCAAAATGCTGGCACGCCAAGCTCAAAAGGTTCGTGATCACTGGTCTAGGCTGTTCTTCTACCACTTTGGAGATAGTTTAAGACGACATGGCAATAATAAATTCCATTGTTATAGTGTGGCAGAGGGCCAAATATAGACTACTTCGGAAGAAGTGTAACTAGAATGCAGTTATGATGTAGAAGAGGCTGTATTGTGCTTAACAATAAGCAGACTCAGTAGCTCAGGGATGCCCATGCGGAAACACCAGGCTGCTCTGTGGGCACTCTCTCTGACTCCTGGGGCGCCAGCCCAGCAAAACATGGCAGAGACAGCCTCACATCTGCAAAGGGAAGGCAGAGGTTAGGAAGGAGTGGGGGCAGGGGTGATATCTGGCTATGGAGACCAACAACTACCGGGAACCAAGTAACCAAGCCACTTCATTTTCACTTTGAGTAAAGGCAGGTTGTTAAAAGAGGTTTTCAGGGCTCTGACTCAGCACTGCCATCGGGGAAGTGGGGGCAAAGTGGATAGGAAGAGGAAAGATAATTAAAGAGTGTCAGCATATTGCCTGGGCCAGTGTGGCTCAGTAGGTTGGAGTGTTGTTCTATGCCCCAGAAGGTCGCAGGTTCGATTCTGGGCACATGCCCAGGTTGCAGTTTGATCCCTGGTTGGGGCATGTACAGGAGGCAATGGATCAATGTATCTCTCTCACATCAATGTTTCTCTCCCTCCCCTTCTCAATTTTTTAAGAAAGGTCAGCCAAGGCAAACAGATCGAAAACAAAACACCAAACATCCTTAAGCCCTGCCAGGCTTTCAGTGACACCCCGGAACTGACAAGCATCACAGCAGGGTGGGGGGAGCACACCTACCCTTCCTCTGTCTCATTGACGATGTCGCAGATCTCCATGTTCAATGTCCAGTCCTCGCTTTGCAGGGAGCCATCTGTGGCCTTTTCTGTAAAGTCAGAGAGAAAGCTGGTTTACATTTCTCCTGAATGAGGGGCTCTGGCAGGAACCAGAACCACCACATTCTCCCAAACAGATGGTCTGAGTCAACAGAGCAGTTCTAGGGTTCTGTTTTCACAAGAGAACAGCCAGCGAGAGAGAGAGAGCTGGGCCCAGAGGCTTATGTCATAACACTGTCCTTCTTTCACCAAACTCCAGACTGAAAAGCTCTTGAAGGCCTAAGTGATTAAAAATCACCCAAAACTCTCAACTCCTCCCATTCAACAGACAACCACATCTTCCTGCACAATGCCAGGTCAAAGCAGCCACAGCCCCGAGACACGATGGGGAAGGTTGGAGTGAACAGATCTGGCCACATTGGGCGCCTGGTCACCAGCTCTGCTTTTAACTATGGCAAAGTAGATAGTTGCCATCAATGACCCCTTCATTAATCTCAACTATATGATCTACACCAAGCATGTCAAACTCACAGCCTGCAGGCCGCATGCAGCCCACAACGAATATTTTTGCAGCCCAACCAATATAACGGTGTGTAAGAAATGTTTTAATAAAAACTTTGTAACTTAATTTTTACAATATCCTGTTATACATAATTATTAACAAACTACAAGGTTCGATTATTATAATCGTGTTGCATTCATTTCCCTTACACGCTTTAAAGGGCGGCGGGTATCCGTGTGTGACCCGACCCGGGGCAGCTGGGCGGTGCAGCAGCGATCTGCCAGCCCGCCAGGCCTCCATCCAGGCATCCTGTGTGTGACCCGACCCAGAGCAGCCTGGCAGGGCAGCAGTGATCC